TCCCTTCCAAGGCTAGGGTCCTACAGCCGGGGCATATAGAGTTCACAATAAATAAAGTTAATAATAATCAATCATAATTGGAAAGTGCCTCCTCTTTTTATGGCAGGACCAGGTTGGACTAGATGGCCTCAGGGGCCCCCTTCCCAGTCTCCGGGACTCCTTTTTCCGGCCCCCGCACAGCAGTTCTTCAGCGGCATCGCTTTACGTCCCCTTTAAGAAGCTAAAGCTGCCAGTTGAAGAACTGTTGGCCGGGGCCCCAAGCCACGAGGAAGGAGGAAGTGGAAGAGGAAGAGGAAGAAGGACAAGAGGGTGAGTCCCAGGACCCCCAGTGGGACCCCCCCCCCGTATTATATCATTATTACTACTGTGTATTATTATTATTATCACATTCTATTTATTATTATTATTATCATCATCATATTCTATTATTATTGCTATTATACTAGATTGTTATCTTATGATATTATTGCTGTATTTTATTATGTTATTATAATATAATTATATTGCATTTTATGGTATTATTATACTAGGTTATTATATTGTTTTATTATAGTATTGTTATTTTAGTATATTATTTTTACTAGATTAATATTATTATATTTTATTATAGTATTCTTACATCATTATTACTTTATTTCATTATTATATTATTACTGCATTCATATTATATTATATTATAGTACAATATGACATTATTATTATATTTTATTATAGTATTTTTACATTATTACTTTATTTTATTACATTATTATATTATATTTTACTAGATTAATATTATTATATTTTATTATAGTATTCCTACATTATTATTACTTTATTTTATTATTTTATTATAATATTATTATATAATTATATTACATTTTATAGTATTGTTATACTAGGTTATTATATTGTTTTATTATATTATTATATTTTAGTATATTATTATTTTTACTAGATTAATATATTTTATTATAGTATTCTTACATTATTATTACTTTATTTCATTATTATATTATTACTGCATTGATATTATATTATAGTACAATATTATATTATTATTATATTTTATTATAGTATTCTTACATTATTATTACCTTATTTTATTAGATTATATTATTACTACATTTATGTTATGATGTTATATTTTATTATATTATTATATTTAATTAGAGTACAATATTACATTATTATTATATTTCATTATAGTATTCTTACATTATTATTACTTTATTTCATTTTTATATTATTACTACATTGATATTATGATATTATATTATGATATTTTATTATAGTACAATATTACATTTTTAATGTATTTTATTATAGTATTCTTACATTATTATTAATTTTATTACATCATTATATTATATTATATTATTACTACATTGATATTACAATATTCTATTTTATTAGATTACTGTATTTTATGAGAGTACAATATTACATTATTATAATATTTTATTATAGTATTCTTACATTATTGTTTATTTATTAGATTATTAGATTATATGTATTATTACTATATTGATATTATGATATTATATTTTATTATAGTACAATATTATATTATTATTATATTTTATTATAGTATTCTTACATTATTATTACTTTATTTTACTATATTATTTTATTAGATTATTATTAGATTTATATTTTATTATATTATTATATATTATTATAGTACAGTATTACATTATTATATTTTATTATATTATATCACTATATATTATATATTACTAGATTCATTTTTATTATATATTATATTTTATTATCATGCTCTTATTAAGCTATTATTATATAATTACTATGTTATTGCCACTATATTATTATTATTATTATTATTATTATTATACATTATTGTTTTATGTTATTATACATTATTATTATTCTCTCCACAAATGAGAGTTGATAGCCATTTCCAATCCCAGTGCGCCATCTCCTGGCTGTCTGCAGAATGGCAGATGCTTCCTAATAATAATAATAATAATAATTATTATTATTATTATTATTATTATTATTATTATTATTATTACTTGGATCTGCGCGCATCATTTGAAAATACATCACACATTCCTAGACACTTGGGAAGTGTTCGACTTGTGATTTTGTGATACGAAATCCAGCATAGAGATCTCGTGTGCTGTGATATACTGCGCTTTTGTGTCAGTAAAATAATCACAATAATAATAATAATAATAATAATAATAATAATAATAATAATAATAATAAATTTTAGTTGTTACCCACCTCTCCTGATGATGATGATCTCCAGTATCAGATGCCGACAAGGGCTGATGAGCTCTGTAGTCCAGCCGCATGGGAGAAGATATTTAATATAATAATAATAATAATAATAATAATAATAATAATAATAATAATAATAATAATAAATTATATTTATTTCTTTAATATTTTGTAAGCTTGGTTTCAATGGCTTTGAGTGTTGCGAAAAGTTTTGATTTCTTGCTAAAGTAAAATTGTTATTAATTACATGTGTGTGTGTACGTATATTCCAGTTTCTTAATTATATATTATATAATATTTTTATATTATTATTATACTATATATAGCTTCAGTTTCAATGGTTTTGGTTTCTGGTTAGTATTTTAAAGATTATTATTATTATTATTTATAATCTACCGTCTATGTATGTGTGTGTGTGTGTGTATATATATATATATATATATATATATATATATATAAAGTATATTATTATTATTATTATTATTATTTATAACCTGCCGTCTATGTGTGTGTGTATATATATATATATATATAAAGTATATTATTATTATTATTATTATTTATAATCTACCGTCTATGTATGTGTGTGTGTATATATAATAATAATAATAATAATATACTATATATATATATATATATAAAGTATATTATTATTATTATTATTATTATTTATAACCTGCCGTCTATGTGTGTGTGTGTATATATATATATATATTTATTTAAAGTATATTATTATTATTATTACTATTATTATTATTTATAATCTACCGTCTATGTATGTGTGTGTGTGTGTGTGTGTGTGTGTGTATATATATATATATATATATATATATATTTAAAGTATATTATTATTATTATTATTAATTATAACCTGCCGTCTATGTGTGTGTGTGTATATATATATATTTATTTAAAGTATATTATTATTATTATTATTATTATTATTATTATTATTTATAATCTACCGTCTATGTATGTGTGTGTGTGTGTGTATATATATATATATATATATATATTTAAAGTATATTATTATTATTATTATTATTATTATTATTATTAATTATAACCTGCCGTCTATGTGTGTGTGTGTATATATATATATATTTATTTAAAGTATATTATTATTATTATTATTATTATTATTTATAACCTGCCATCTATGTGTGTGTGTGTGTGTATATATACATACATGTATATATATACACATATATATACACATACCTATTTTAAGCTTCAGCTTCAATGTTTCGAATGTTGTGAAAAGTTTGGATTCCTCAATAAAGTAATATTATTTTCAATTATATATTATATTTTTCGTCTTTGTCTCGATGGCTTCGACTGTTGTGTAAACTTTGGATTCCGGGTCAAAAAGTAATGCCTCCATCCTCTGTCGGGAGGGATCGGATGGTGTTCTTCCTCCCATGTCGTAATGGGGTTGGTCTGGATGGCCTCTGGGTGCCCCTTCCCCAATCTATTGATTTTGTAGCCTTCTCCATTGATCTGTTAGTATCTATGAGAGGATGGATGTCGAAAGGGAGGTTGTCTGGCTGACCTTTTGGTGCCCCTTCCAACCTGAGGATCCCACGATTGGTTGGTTGGTTCACTCATTTGAGTGTATGACAGGCTAGATGGGTCTCTGTTGGGAGGGATCAGATGGTGTTCTGCCTCCCATGTAATGAGGTTGGTCTGGATGGCCTCTGGGTGCCCCTGCTCAGTCATGTGAGTCTGTGAGAAGCAGAGTGGCCCTCTGTCAGGAGGGATCGGATGGTGTTCTTCCTCCCATGTCGTAATGTGAATATTATTATTATTATTATTATAGTAATAATGCTGTTATGTTTAACACTAATTATTAATATTATCTGAATATAATTATATATATTTATATATTATTATAGTAATAATAACACTGTTATGACTAATAATAATATATTATTATTAATACTAATATTAATTATTCTTCATGTGAGTCTATGAGAAGCTGGGCGGCCCTCTCCTGGGAGGGATCGAATGGTGTTCTTCCTCCCATGTTGTAATGAGGTTGGTCTGGATGAGCACTGGGTGCCCCTGCTCACTCAATTTGAGTCTATGAGAAACTGAGTGGCCCTCTGCCGGGAGGGATCAGATGGTGTTCTTCCTCCCATGGTGTAATGGGGTTGGTCTGGATAGCCTCTGGGTGCCCCTGCTCATTCAATTTGAGTCTATGAGAAGCTGAGTGGCCCTCTGCCGGGAGGGATTGAATGGTGTTCTTCCTCCCATGGTGTAATGGGGGGTCTGGATGGCCTCTGGGTGCTCCTGCTCACTCAATTTGAGTCTATGAGGAGCTGGGTGACCCTCTGTCGGAAGGGATCGGATGGTGTTCTTCCTCCCATGGTGTAATGGGGTTGGTCTGGATGGCCTCTGGGTGCCCCTGCTCACACAATTGGAGTCTATGAGAACCTGAGTGGCCATCTCTCGGGAGGGATCAGATGGTGTTCTCCCTCCTATGTCGTAATGGGGTTGGTCTGGATGAGCTCTGGGTGCCCCTGCTCAATCATATAAGTCTATGAGAAGCTGGGTAACCCTCTGCCGGGAGGGATCGAATGGTGTTATTCCTCCCAAGATACTATTAATATTAATATTAATTATTCTTCATATGAGTCTATGAGAACCTGGGTGGCCCTCTGTCGGTAGGGATCGGATGGTGTTCTTCCTCCCATGTCGTAATGGGGTTGGTCTGGATGCCCTCTGTGTACCCCTCCTCACTCAATTTGAGTCTATGAGCCTATCCTTATTGCTTTTTTAAATTATATATTATTGTTTAATTAAATTAAGGTAACAGCCTGAAACCCAAAGAGATTCATGTGAGTCTATGAGAAGCTGGGCGGCCCTCTGCTGGGAGGGATCGAATGGTGTTCTTCCTCCCATGTTGTAATGAGGTTCGGTCCCATTGTCCATCCGGAAGGGCTTCACTTCTCCATCGACCTGGAAGGAAGGAAAGGGCCGAGGGGTCAAGGTAGTGGGGGAATATGGTTGGGTTGGGGTCTCTCTCTCTCTCTCTGGGGGTCTTGGGGACTGACCACTGCCTTACTCACTCGGCCTCCTGCTTGGAGATCCTCCGGCCGGAGAGCAGGACTTCGGCCAGCGAGGCCACCGCAGGGTCAAAATTCAGGCTGGCCGCGGCCATCACAAACCCCTCCCTACACAACACACAAGCGAGGTACAAGAAAAGTAATTAATAATAATATTAATAGTATCCTATTAATAATAATATATTATTAGTCATAACACTGTTATTATTACTATAATAATATATTAATAATATATAAATATATTCAGATAATATTAATAATTCTTGTTAAACATAACAGCGATATTACTACAATAAGATATTATTCAGATATTAATAATAATAATAATATATTTATAATAAAATAATATATTATCTATTTTAGTATAATTATTGACAATGATATTAATAACTATATAGTAATATAATAATATAATTCTGTTATTATTACTATAATAATATATTAATAATATATAATTATATTCAGATAATATTAATAATTATTGTTAAACATAACAGCATTATTACTATAATAATATATTATCCAGATACTATTATTATTAATAATAATAATGGTAATTATACAACTTTAATGATGTTCAATTAATATAATAAAATATATTTATAATAAAATCATTATCAATATAATCATTAATATAATATTAATGATATAATAATATTATTAGTAATATATTGTTTATAATAAAACAGTTATCAATATAATATAATCATTATTTTAATATTAATTATATAATATAATTATTAATAATATATTGTTATTAATAATATAATAATTCTGTTATTACTATTATATATGTATTAATAATATATAATTATATTCATATAATAATAATGGTAATTACATGCCTTTAATGATGTTCAATCAATATAATAAAATATACTTATAATAAAATAGTTATCAATATAATATGATCATTAATATAATATTAATAATGATATAATAATATAATTATCAATAACATATTAATAATAGGAATAATATAATAATTCTGTTATTATTGACAATGACATTAATAATTATATAATAATATAATAATCAATATAATAACAATAATTATATAATAATCAATATAATAATATAATTCTGTTATCATTACTATAATAATATATTAATAATATATATTTATAGTCAAATAATAATAATGGCAATTATATGCCTTTAATGACATTCAAGTAATATAACAATATAATATATTTATAATAAAATAATATAAATATCAATATAATATAATTATGGACATGATATAATAATATAATTATTAATAACATATTAATAATAAGAATAATATAATAATTCTGTTATTATTGACAATGACAATAATTATATAATAATCAATATAATAATATAATTCTGTTATCATTACTATAACAATATATTAATAATATATAATTATAGTCAAATAGCAATAATGGCCATTATATGCCTTTAATGACATTCAATTAATATAGCAATATAATATATTTATAATAAAATGTTATAATTATCAATATAATATAATTATTGACAATATATTATTATTATTAATAATAATATTATTCTATTTTTATTCTATTATTATAATGGTATTATTATTATTTAAAATGTTATGGCAAATCATCTTACACCAGAAGCAACTTGAAGTTTCTCGAATCCCTTCTGACACGATAAAAATTATATATATAGATAGATAGATATAGATATATATAGACACATTCACCCCTGTCCGCACCTGAGATAGAAAAGGAGGAAGCGTTCCTGTTCGAGGCTGCCCTTCAAGACGGTCTCTGTGTATCCCATGCCGAAGCCTGGAAACAGGAAGGAGAATCTTCTCTATCAATACAAATGTCATGTTCGTTTGTGGGATTAACACAACTCAACAACCACGGGACAAATTGACACCAAATTTGGACTCAATACACTTCTCAGGCCAATGAGTGACCATCACTCATAAAAACACCGCAAAACACAGCAGAAGGGATGTAAAAAGCCAAAAAGGAGAGAAAAAACATTTTAAGGTACGCACAAACGATATATATATATATATACACACACACACACACAAACACATATATACACACATGTATGCATATACATACACAAAACACGCAGGAAGAAGGAAGGAGAGAAAGAAAGGGAGAGAAGGAAGGGAAAGAGAGAGAGAAAGAGAGAAGAAGAAGGAGAGAAGGAAGGAAAAAGAAGGGTAGAGAAAGAAGGAAGGAAGGAGAGAAGGAAAGAAAGAAAAGTAGAGAAGGAAGGAGGGAGAGAAAGAGAGAGAGAAGAAGGAGAGAAGGAAGGAAAAAAGAAGGGGAAAGAAGGAGGGAAGGAGAGAAGGAAAGAAAGGTAGAGAAGGAGGGAGAGAAAGAGGGAATGAAGAAGAGAAAGAAGGAAAGAAAGGGTAGAGAAGAAAGGAAGGAGAGAAAGAGGGAAAAAGAGAAGGAAGGAAAGAGAGAAGGGTAGAGAAGGAAGGAGGGAGAGAAGGAGGGAAAGAAGAAGGGAAGGAGGGAAGAAGAGAAGGAAGGAAAGAAAGAAGGGTACAGAAGGAAGGAGGGAGAGAAGGAGGGAGAGAAAGAAAGAGGGAAGGAGAGAAGGAAGGAAAGAAAGAAAGGTAGAGAAGAAAGGAAGAAAGAAGGAAAGAGAGAAGGGTAGAGAAGGAAGGAGGGAAAGAAAGAGAGAGTAAAGAAGGGAAAGAAGGAGAGAAGGAAGGAAAGAAAGAAGGGTACAGAAGGAAGGAGAAGGGTGGAAAGAAGGAGGGAAGGAGAGAAGGAAAGAAAGAAAGGTAGAGAAGGAAGGAAGGAAGGAGGGAGAGAAAGAGGGAAAGAAGGAGGGAAGCAGAGAAAGAAGGAAAGAAAGAAGGGTAGAGAAGAAAGGAAGGAGAGAAGGAATGAAGGAGAGAAAGAGGGAGGGAAGGAAGGAAGGAAAGAGACAAGGAAGGATAGAACCAAAGAGCAAAGGAAGCAAAAAAAAAAGTTGCTCCCTTTAAAAAGGTATATTTATTGTATTTATTTCCCATTATTTCCTTCAAATAGATCTATTATATATGGTCGTTATATCGTAATTATTGCATTTATTCCATTGTTATTGTATCCGTTCCCGTAAAAAAAAAAGCAACCAAGTTCCAGGCTGACCTGCGTAGCGGATGGTCTTGCCTTGGATGCGGGTCCAGAAGAAAGGGACCGTTTGGAGCGCCTTTGGCTGCCCCAAAATGTTCAGGGCGGCCACACGACCTGCATTGGAGGGGAATCACACAGCCCTTGAGTGAGGAGGGGCGTCCAGAGGCCATCCAGACCAACCCCATTACGACATAAGAGGGAGAACACTATCCGATCCCTCCCAATGGAGGGCCACCCAGCTTCTCATAGATTCAAATGAGTGAGAAGGGGCACCCAGAGGCCATCTAGACCAACCCCATTAAGATATGGGAGGAAGAACACCATCTGATCCTTCCCGACAAAGGGCCACCCAGCAGACCAACCCCTTTAAGACATGGAAGGAAGAACACCATCTGATCCCTCCCGACAGAGGGCCACCCAGCTTCTCATAGACTCAAATGAGTGAAAAGGGCCATCCAGAGGCCATCTAGACCAACCCCATTAAGATATGGGAGGAAGAACACTATCCAATCCCTCCCGAGAGAGGGCCACCCAGCTTCTCATGGACTCCAGACTGACTCCATTATGACATGAGAGGGAGAACACTATCCAAACCTCTCAACCCAGCTTCTCATAGACTCAAATAAGTGAGAAGGGGCACCCAGAGGCCATCCAGACCAACCTCATTACGACATGGGAGGAAGAACACCATCCAATCCTTCTCGAGGGAGGGCCACCCAGCTTCTCATAGAAATTAGTGAGAAGGGGCACCCAGAGGCCATCCAGACCAACCTCATTATGACATGGGAGGAAGAACACTATCTGATCCCTCCTGACAGAGGGCCATCTAGCCTCTGATCGATTCAAATGAGTGAACCAATCAATCTATCAGAGTGGGGAAGGGGCACCCAAAGCCCATCCAGACCAACCCCCTTCCGACATCCAGCCTCTCCTAGGTTGATGGAGAAGACTATAGAATTAATAAGAGTGGGGAAGGGGCACCTAGAGGCCATCCAGACCAACCCCATCACAACCTGGAGGGAAGAACTCCACGTGACCCCTCCCGACAGAGGGCCACCCAACCACATAGATAGTAACAGGTTGGTGGAGAAGGCTATAGAATTAATAAGAGTGGGGAAGGGGCACCCAAAGGCCATCCAGACCAACCCCATAAAAACATAGAGGGAAGAACACCACACAATCCCTCCCAACAGAGGGCCACCCAACCACATAGATAGTAGCGAGTTGGTGGAGAAGGCTATAGAATCAATAGAGTGGTAATGAGGGGCCCAGAGGCCATCCAGACCAACCCCATTACAACATGGAAGAACACAACCTAATCCCCCCCTACAGAGCGCCATCCAGCTTCTCATAGACTCAAATGAATGAAGCAATCAATCTTGGCATCCTAGGGATGGAAGGGGTATACACCGACCCCCTTCCGACATGGAGGGAAGAACACTGTCCGATCCCTCCCGGCAGAGGGCCATGCTCACCGTGGGCCTGGGCAACCTGCCAGTGCCGGATGGGGGCGCTCTTGCCACTCAGCAGGGCCACGGGGAAGGAGACCACGTCCCCTGCGGCGAACACAGAAGGGACGTTCGTCTTCATGAACTGCGGGAAGAAGAGAAGAGAACGGGTCCAGAAAGGAAGGAAGGAAAGAAGGAAGGAAAGAAGGTCTTTCCTCAGTCTCCTCCTTACCAGGTCCACTTGGACGTTTCCGCCTTGGTCCAGCGCAATGGGCGTCCCTTGGAGGAAAGCAGAGTTTGGGACGACACCTGCGAGGCGGGAGGAAGGAAAACTTCAGGTCTCTTAGATTACCTCCCTTCCGGGGCAAACTGAGGTTGGACTAGATGCCCTTTGGGGGACTCTCCTTCTCACCCTTCTAAGCCCACTCACCGATTCCCACCACCACCACGTCCGCTGAGATCGCGTGCCCGCTGCCCAGGACAACATGGGTGACCTAGGAGGGAGGCATATCACAACAACAACACAACAATAGAATGATAATAATAATAATAATAATAATAATAATAATAATAATAATAATAATAATAATATCTTTTTGGGGAACGTCACTACGACTCCCGGAACCCCCCAGCAAAGTCTCCCATCTCACAATGAGGAGACCTTGAAAGAGGTTATGCCATTGTCCATCCATCCGGACCGGGTGCTTTGCCAGATCTCAACTCTTTAATCTCTGCATAATAACAACGATGTATTACCCGCCTCTCCTCTTTGTTCAAGACAATGTACTACTGGGCTAAAACAGAGAGAGGGAATGTCACTACAACTCCTGGAACCCCCCAGCAAGGTCCTCCATCTCACAATGACGAGATCTTGAAAGAGTTTATGCCATTGTCCATCCATCCGGACCAGGTGCTTTGCCAGATCTCAACTCTTTAACCTCCACCATAACAACAACAACAATGCTGTATTACCCGCCTCTCCTCTTTGTTCAAGACAATGTACAACTGGGCTAAAACAGAGAGAGGGAACGTCACTATGATTCCCGGAACCCCCCAGCAAGGTCTTCCATCTCACAATGAGAAGATCTTGAAAGAGGTTATGACATTGTTCATCCATCCGGACCAGGTGCTTTGCCAGATCTCAACTCTTTAACCTCCGCCATAATAACAACAACAATGTATTACCCGCCTCTCCTCTTTGCTCAAGACAATGTACAACTGGGCTAAAACAGAGAGAGAGTTGATGAACTCTCGTGGCTAAAACAGATGAACCCATAGTTAATATTTAAATTTAATTTAAATATTTATTTTAACAGTACCTTGCTGTTAATGCCTCAAATTGTTGCCTATCTGTAAGCCACCTTGAGTCCCCCTTGGGGTCGAGAAAGGTGGGATGTAAATTTAGTAAACAAACAATTAATAAGTAAATTATAAAAGGGAAATTATTAATTATTATTATTAAATTATGTATGTGTGTGTGGTTGGGGTGTCCACTTCCGTCGCACTCACCTTCCCTTCCTGGCCCTTGAGCTCTGCCACGTCCGCTTCCAGGTGGAATTCCACTCCTTGGCTTTGAAGCATCTGAAGGGAGGGAAAGGGAAATAAATGAAAGGAAAGAGGAGGAAGGGGTCACCCAATGGCCATCTGTCCGGAGGGATCGAAATGTGTCCCCCTGCCTGGCAGAAGGGGCAATAGACTGCATATGGCCCTCTTTGAGGGAGGGTCCCTTTGGACTCTTTTGAGATCTCTCAACCTCTCAATCTTATCATATGGTCATCTTGGACTTTGGCTGGAGTGCCGTCTGTCAGGAGAGGTTTGATGGTGTCTAATAATAATAATAATAATAATAATAATAATAATAATAATAATAATAATCAGCCACTCTGAGTCCTCCCTCAGGGGTTGAGAAGGGCAGGGTAAAAATGTTGTAAATAATAAATAATAATAAATTAATAATAATACAGACTAATGATAAATGAATAATAATGATAAAAATAGATATTATTAATAATAGTCAATAATAATAAATGGATAATAAATAATAATACATTAAATAACAATAAATTAATGATAATAAATAAAAATAATTATACATTAATAATAAAATAAATTAATCATGATAATGTGAACAATAATAAATCGATAGTGATAAAATAAATAAATACTAAATTGATGATAATTATAAAACTAATAATAATAATAAATTAAGAATGAAAATGTGAATAATAATAAATTTATAATGATAATAAAATTAATAATACATTAAGAATGATAACATGACTAATAGATGATAATATAATAAATAATAAATTGATAGTAATGATAAATAAAATAATAATAAATAATGATAATAATATTACTAATAATATTGCTAATAATAATATTAATAGCATTAATAGTTGATTTATGATAATAGCAATAATAATAATAATAATAATAATAATAATAATAATAATAATAATATCTCATGGGGTCGCCTACCTTCATGGCCACCTGTCCCACCTGGCCACCCAGCACCGTGTGGTATGGAAGGTGGCCCCTCTCCACCACCTGGATGCTGGACGCCTTCCCGGCCAGACTGGACGCCAGCTCCATCCCTGCAGGGGGGGGGCGAGGGAGAGAGATGGGTGACTTTTGACCCACTGCTCCCCCCTGGACCCTCCCCTTGACCCCTATCCATTTACCAATGAAGGAGCCCCCCACGATGGCCACCTTCCTCCCCGTGGCCAGGCGCAGGATCCGGGCCGCGTCCTCCGGGGTCAGCAGGGTGCAGATGCCCTCCAGGTCACAACCAGGGCAACGGAGGAGGCGAGGCCTGCAGATGGAGCATTGTTACAACTAGTATTATTATTACTACTACTACTACTATTATTATTTTTACTATAACTATTACTATCAAAATTAGTGCTATTAGTATTGGTGTTATTAGTTGTTGTTGTTGTTCATTCATTCATTCAGTCGTCTCCGACTCTTCGTGACCTCATGGACCAGCCCACGCCAGAGCTCCCTGTCGGCCG